GGCTGTGTGCAGGCTTGCCTCTCTTGCTGCAAATTACTGTGGTATGTTTTCTTGTTCTTTCTCCAGTCTGGAAAAGATCAAGTTCAATCTATTTTTTTAGATAGTGTTTGTCCTTTATTAGAAATTCTTTGGCAATGGATTATACAGAATCAAGGGGATTGCTTTGTCACCACCAACCTCCCCTCCCCTGTCCCCCGGCGGCACTAACGACCATTAGCGTTAATTATTTAGAGGTGCTTGTTTTTCACACAGAAAGCAGTGATCAATGTGCAATGCCAGATACATGGTTGCGTACCCCCTGACTCCAGTACTTTACCCCTCATCTTTCGAAGCGTCTGTTTTCTTTGATACAGCCTTTGGTTTTTATTCAGCACAGTGTAAGCAGCACTATTTAGAAAGCTTGTTATTTTTATTTTTTTTCCAGGCAGGAACATTTTCTCTGTAAATGTTAACCTTGTGACACAGTCTGAAATGTTTCTTTTCTTGCATTTTTATTCATCTCCTGCTAATTTTCAGCTGTTGTGCATTCTGGGCTGCAGACCATGTAATGGCAAAACCAAATGGGTAACCTTTTCACCTAGGCTCACTATGGCTTTTTTTGCTGTTGGACATGGATAGTCCACAGGGTGTCCTAATTGGAAATGTTAAGCAATCATGAGAAGTAAAGATCTAGACACAGTTGTTCTTTCCTTTCATGTGCAAAAGCACCCCAAAACTGAAAAATGTTGAGCCGTAGCCACAGACGTCGTATGCAATAAATAAGATGATACATCTGGCTTCTAGACTGGCTCTCAGCAATTTCAAGAGCCTTTTCCTATGGGTGGATTGTGCAAACTGGTACTGAATTGTTCCAACTTCAATTGAAATCCCACTGAAATATGTAGTTCTTTTTCTGTGGTGGAGGGAGAAGTGTTGACACCAACTGGCCTTCACATAACCGAGCTGTTTGGGTGGGTTGGCTGGATGACTCCTGGGGTGCCTAGAGATAGGTCTCCCTTAAGATTCCACTTTTGATCATTTTGATCCACTGTCTCTAAAGCACAAGGCTGTAGAACAGAGCATGATGTGTCTGGTGTCCATCTAGGTAGTTTTTGAGCATTTGTGGCCTTCTGAGCTCACACCAGAGTCAGGTCCAGGTTATGGTATGGATTTGTAGTCACACATTGCATTCTGTATATGCTCAGCAAAACAGAATTTGCCATGTGTCGTGGTCTTCCCATGTTACTTTGGTTGCATAAAGACAAAAGATTTGAGAAAATGTTCTTGTAAAAATTGAGGACCACTGCATGTTAGAAACAGCACCACTTGGGGTCACGGTTTTGTCCCATGGGTTATTCTATGAAGTCATCGTAGGTAGGGTTAGGGAACTTACAGCTTCCCAGCTCCAAAAGTTTTGCCACACAAGTCTGCAAAATTAACACATGCCAAATAATATGAAATAACCTGGGTTGTGGCCTTACTTCACGGACCGCATCACTCACAACATAATACAGTGTCACGCAACAGAAATACTGCTCCTGATGGGTAATGGCATTAAGAGTGCTGAAGTCATGGTACAAAACTTGCTTAATGATTTGCATTTTTTCTCCTATGTTACAAAACGTAGTTGAGCAGATGGATGCAGCCAGCTGTACACAGAGCTTTAGGGAGTACTGGGGAGAAAAGAGAGAGGTTTTTGTTAAGATAAATGTAATAATCTCTGTGATAATTAGTTTAATTTAGATCCCTGCATCTGACTCATTTTTGACTAACCTTGTATGAAGCCTTTCTTGCCTTGCTGACGAGTCTGTGAATTTAGTTTGATTACAGCCCCTTTTTTTGTGCTTGCGGATTGCTCACTGATCACTGATATTTTTCATTAAGCAGTTGCTTTATTACATTGTTATTTAGAGGGGAGTAATTTGTGCTTTCTAATTAATTTAATTCCAGGCATATTTAGTAAGTAGCTACAATGAGCCCATTCAAGGGGTTTTAGGTCATATTGACATTGTTTACCAGATGTGCTCGTTTGTTTTAGAACCCTGTTAACTCTGTGATGACAACAGCCCCATTCGGTTGCATGACTCTTCCACCGTCCCTAATCTGCATCTCCAAAACCCCCCAAAATTAGAAGATGCATTTCAAGTACTAGTGAGAGATAGGCATTAAATCACAGAGGAATTATATTGCTAACAGTGTCGATATAAACTATTACTATTCCATTATCAGATTTGAGGGCAGAGCAGCGGAGTAGCCTTTGGGCTTCTCTTAGTCAGGGATGTGAATGCCATTACTCCAACAACTAAAAAATTGGACAATGCCGAAGAGATGCAAACGCGGTGTTAAGTCCATGCTTGGCCTATTTACCTCTGAAAAACTTTCAGTGAGGCTTCAGGAGAGAACGGGGCAGCTGGGAGGATGGCATGAGCAGTGGCCTGAGCAGTGATGGGACATGGTTGATGTAATCAAAAGGTGAACGTTGTAGTTCATAGTTGTCACCATCCCAAACTCATAGGCGTGGGCAATTGTTTTTGCCAGAAGCTTTTTCATGAAGCTCCGCATTTTCTTGCTAGTGATGCTCCCAGGAGTTGGGGGTTATTCAAGCGCTCTGTGTTCATTGCTGTTAATTACTGCATCCATTCCATCATCTGAGCATGAAAACTACACAGGACACCTATCATTAGCTCATTTGGCCTGTTGCGTCAAAAACTGGGGGTTTAAAATGAGACCCTAATTAGGTGAATAAATAACTTTTTTACAGGAAAATGTACAGGCAGGTTATTCCCCTGACTATAAGCTTGTCCCGTGAAAAACTACCAACATTTGTTAATGTGTTGTGCATTCACTTATTTTGATAAAAATTCGATTACTGCTTGTTCTGCAGCAAAGCCTGGCAAAGAGCAGTGACACTGTAAGATTCATCGGCCTCTGAAGGAGCCGCCAAACAATGTCCTTGATGTGTTTTCCATTATTTTTCAACAGTTTTCCATCTCTTTTGGATTGTAACAGCCAAAATAAATACCAAACTTTGAAGGAAAGGTTTGTTCAGTAGTTCATACTTAGTAAATTTTAACATTTAATGCTTGTGATGCAATAAACTGAATTCTGGTACAATTTGAACCAACAGCCCAGCTGCATCTCCGCTTTATTTTTTGCAGGGAACGTTTAAATTGCTGTAATACCTTTTCTGGCTCATGTTGGTCTGTTAAGGGTGTGTGCGTGCATGGGGATCTGTTCTACCTATTGATTTAATAGGAAAGAGCATCTCTTGGAAAGGGAGAGTAAACGTGTGTGCATGCATGTGGAAGGGGGGAGAGAGAGAGGGAGAATCTCTATCTGTGTGTTTATCTCTGTGATAAATGATGCCTGTTAAAAATGTGACTTGCCATGAACATTATTAGTGCTTTCTTCTTTAAGTGTATTACACAAACACAGTCACCGTCAGCAGAAATGAAGCTGCGGTCTTGATTGTTTCGTTCAAACAGTTTTGATGTTTCGTTGTCCCTCAATCAATCGGTGCCTGGAGGGGTATCAGCTATTGGCTGGGAATGCATCAGAGTGACATGCAGAGCACAGATATTCCTCAAAAGCTGAAAATATTTTGTTTAAAATACTCATTACAGTTTGCATCCCAGGCTGTGAGCAGGCAGCGAAGTGAGCTCTGTTCATCATTTTTAATTGTGCATCTTCCCTATTCAGAACTAACATCTCCCAAATTACCTTAAAATGAGCTTCTTCCTAGAGAGATTTGTAATGCACTTGCATCACTTATTTTATTCTCTGTGTAAAAGTTAGACGAGGGCATGGGTTTTAGCACGAACGAAATGCATAAAGTAGAAAACATAATGCGGCATAAATGCCACGTAAATCACATCCTAAAGACAAAAGCAGATTTCAAACATCTGAATTACTGAGCACTTAGTGTGGAGCGTAATCTTCTCTTTTGGTTTATGTTTGTTTCCTGGAGTGCCACACAGAGCAAAAAATGGGGAGTTCCCTGTCCTCCAACAGTGGAGGAAAAGGAAGGTGATTTGCAAAATGCCCAGGAAAGAGCTTTTCCTGCGTTGTAGGTAAATCCCCTGGCCAAGTGTCTCCTTTGCTGCTGGGAATTGAGCTATATGCAGAAGTAGTCGATAGAAATCCCACTTGGGTTGTCTTGCTCATCACAGAGCGAGTAAGAGGCTGCTCCAAAATGCAAAGTTGTCCTTGAAAAAACCTTCTCTTGTGCCCTCCCAGTTGTTTCTTCCTTTGCATTGACTGCAACCTGTGTAAGCCCCCCTTCTCCACGCTCCCTAGCATCCCCCCCAAGGGTCAGGACATTTGCAGTGCTGTTTTCAAGCCTCCGCTCTCTGAAATTGTAACTAACAGATAAAATCTCTGGCTTCAACGATTTACACTTACGATGGACAGGAAGGAAAACGCGTGTTTTCTCAGCAACATTCACGTTTTTAGGGATAAACGCTTATTCCTCCGCATGCTTTTGTTTTCCTTTGCCCAGCCTGTGCCTCCTGGCTCAAGCCGATGCACGTTTTCCTTTCAAAAATCGATTTCTAGAGAAATACTTTTTAAAAAATCAACCTGTTTCCCCTGCGCCGCCGCGATTGGTCTGATAAAATCGCTGAGCCGATCACGTCAAAAGGAAATAGCCTCGGCTTAATTGTAAGCTAAGGCTCCCGTAATCCAGGGGAGCATTTGAGATTCTGCCCAAGCGCTGGGTTTCGGCAGCCGCTGAGGGCTGTGGGTTTCTCTCCCAGCCTCCCGGCTGCTGCAGCACAAGTCAGCATAGCTAATGCAGATAGAGCTCTCCCCCCGCTCCCTTTTCCCCGCTCCCGTCTCTCGCTCGCTCTCCCTCTCCCTGTGCTTTGATTCGATATGAACAGACTGGTAACTCCGATGCGAGAGCGAAAGCTGACATAACTCTGCAGATGGCTACATTCGGATGATACACCTAGGGATTCTTCTTTAAGGGAAGGTAACGTTTAGATGCTAATGTTTATTTTTCCCTTGTTGCCATTTTTCAGGACTGCCGGTCCCAAAGAAGAGCCCAAAGTCGGTAAGCACTTTTCAGCTACTATTTTTGTCTGTTTGTCTGCTTTGAAGGAGAAAGGCATGAGTTCGGTTTGTTTTCTTTGTGGGTCTTGATTGTTTTAAGTTGTCTTTCTGTTGCAACCATGATTACCTTGCACAGCTCCTGCTGCATGGGGAGATGAAAGAGGAATGCAGTACAGAAGGGGGACTTGTTTGCAAATAAAGCCTCAAGTTTACAGATCCTCTTCCCTGACAGATGAGCTTCTCTGTCGTTTAACTTACCAAAAAAAAAGCTATTGTTTCCTTTTGGAAAGATGGGAGGCTCCACCTTCTTGCCAGATATCAATTGCTGTCGGGTGCTTATAGGCACCAAGCTTTTCCATTTACTCCCCGAGTTTTCTTGAGTACCCTCGGCTGAATTATTAAGAGAATGGGAAAGCATGCACCTTGTTGAGAGAGACAAAGCATGAACAGAGCATGATTACGGTTCCCGGGGAATACAGTTAGCTGTATAGAGTTAATACCGTCAGCTGTCCGAGTGCTTGCTCTGGAGGCATTTTCATACTGGGCAGGATTGTGCTGCAGGTGTGAGATTCCTTATTTTAAAAAAACCAAACAACAGAACAGTATTTTCTTGTCCCTTCTTGATCCTGTTTCCATGTAAAGCTGTTACCTGGATGACATGTTAGCTAATAGCATGGAAGCCGTGATCTAAAGTATCGTTAAAGCTCTGTGCATGATATCGTGGAAGAAATTAACGTACTATTTGTGTGCAACAACAACAAAATGTTTTATTTTTAAAGGAAACGGAATACTTAAAGCCTGAAAGTTAACAGTTATCTGTTGAGAGGGAGGGGGGAAAAGGGATTTATCTCCCAGTAGCTTTGGGGAAGCAGAGCGAGTGAGGTCTTTGCCGTGTTGTAAGACGGTGCGAAACTTCACCGGCAGTCCCCGATGGGTGCCAAAAACTGCAGCTGGGTGCAGCCCACCTCGCTGCCAACCTGGGCAGGAGGTTTATGAAGGGGCTGAGCAGAACGCTCCTGCTTTTAATACGAGTTCTCTGTTCATCCAAAAAGAAAGCCCTGAAATAATTAATGTGATTCTGATGGCTTAGGGCAGTGCTGATTAAAGTCACGTGAGCCCAGGCCTCTACCATTGTCAGCTCACGTTAATGTTGAGAGGCAGAAGTGCGGGGTGTGCTCCCTCGCAGATCATAGGCATGTCAGACCCTGCACGCTCACTCCTGTCATACGCTGAGATTATTTCAGCCTTCGGTAAAACAGAAGCAAGTGTGTAAAATACGTACGCGTCTGGCACGTTTCACTTCTCTGCCTGCACTTTTTTCCCCAGTCGGAGCAGGAGTGGCTGCTCTCGATCCGGACTCCGACTCCTGTCATTAAACCAGCCCCGATCAATGAGTCTCGGTCTGTTCAAAGCGTGGAGGCTCCCATGTGGAGGCTCCCGCTTCGCCACACACGCATTCGGCATCAGGTAAAGGGGGATCCTGCCATGTCAGACACCTCTCTGGTCGGCAGTGATGCACCGTGAAAATCTGAGCAGCGTCTAAATCCATGTCGGGATAATCCTGCCTCAGTGAACAAAGAGACTGCTTGCAAACAGGTGTAGCCCTGCAACAGCAGATTTCTCCCTACTATTTGCGTTGAGGAGCCAGTCAGCCCTGGGAAAGCAGTCCCGTTCCCTCACGTGCCTCTTGCAAACCCCTCTCACCTTGCTTTAGGGTCCCTCCAGTAATTTTTACTACGGCCCTAGGCGGTGCTGTTGCCTCTAAAGCACAGGATTCACAAAAAGCAGAGCCTCCTATTCCCCCTGCCTGCACACCGGATCATTTGCATTGGCAATTAGCAGCGATGTTTTACACTGCCGCATTGTGCGGCAGCTTTAATGACTGACCGCTCCTTGGAGGGGCAGAGCAGAGTGTGTCGGAGCCGGCACAGCCGCTCCTTCATTCCCAGGCATCGGTGACGTGCACGGGTTGAGCGCAGAAACCTGGAGCAAAGCGCCTTGGGGCACCCGTATGCAGAAGAGGAAACTGTCCTCAGGGCTGTCTGGGATGGATTTGCACCAACACCAGAGCTTGTGTGGTCAAGGCGATGGTCAAAAGCATAAAAGCAGCGGTATTGCTTAACACCTTCCTTCCTTGGTTTAGTTGCAGGGCTGGTGCTCGGCTGCGGGGCGAGGGGAGCCTGGCCTTCTCGGCCATGAAGACTCCCAATTGCTCTTGTCCTGGCGAGGGAGAGCCAGGCCTGCCCCGCTGGCGTGCTCCCCGGCTGGGGTGCCGTCTCGCTGCGCCCTGCCCCGGCATTTCCCAGGGATGCACTTGCAGCCGTTAGGTGAACGTGGGTGCTGCCGGCTGAGCTGTGCGCCCGCGGGCTGTCCCCAGCGCTGCACGGCCGGCTACGGGGATTGGGTTGAAAGTGCTGCTTGTTTCCCCCGGTCCCTTTGCCTGACGCAGAGGGAATGTTTTCCAGCATTCCTTGATTAATAAATTAGCTACAGATAGAGGACAGTGTACATCCAGGACAGGAGCAGTTGGCCCAATCTTAACTTGTGCTCGTTCTTTGTTTCTTCTGCTGCATCGGGGAAAACACGAGCTCAGGTCTCCATCCTCTTCTGCTTCGCTCAGTGCAGTGACGAGCCCTCTCTTGATAGCTCCTATCGTTTCCCAGAGCCCGGACACACTCCTGCCAAGAGCTGTCTCTTTCTCAAACAAGCCCTATTTTTAACTCTCAGCCCCAATCCCGTATTCCTGAAAGGCCGACTTCAGGCTGTTGGATACGTCCCGGCTGGGAGGAGGTGTTTCAGCCCCTTGGAGAGGTTTGTTATTGCTGGGGCTGTGACACCATCTGGGAATATTCTTCTGCCGTGAGCTCAGTTTCCCTGAGCTGTATTTTTCAGCCTGTGTATATCTCCTGATGAGCTTTGCTCTTTTTCTCAGTTTTTAAGGAGAGTTTTTCAACCTCGGTGGACGGGCCAAATTAGTTAAAAAAAAAGTTTGCAGTCATACATGAGACTGGGCGCTTCTAAGTCCTTTCCTCCCCCTTTCTCCCCACCAAGGATATGCTCACAGCAGCTCTCTGTGCTGCTTGTTTGTTTTCAATTTCTCATTGATTCTTCTTTAGGTGAAAATGGGTAATATTTTTGTATTGACCGTCTGGGGATATACATTTTCAGTGTGCAAGTTCTATAGTATAGCAATTTCCCCTGCAATTATCCTGGTATAACATGGATGAAAACAAACATTTTTTTTCCTTTTTTCTTTTTTTTTTTCCCATGTTGCTTGCATCAAAATACTCCACAAGGGGGCAAAGATTCCCATTTCCAGCTCAGTTTGCTGTCTCTGCCAGGACCAGCTTCTCCAAAATGCTCTAGAGCACAAAATCTGCAGCTAGATCATCAGAAGACAGGATCACTGCAAGGCAAAGAAAGTGCTAAGCTCTTCCAAAAATCTAATTTTTCTTTTGGGTGTAAATAAATACATTGTCAGCATAGCTGAACTGTGGCCAAAAATGCAATTCCTATGCACAGCCTGTCCCTGACAAGAGGCTTGCCGTGTATTTCGGGTGGATAGGCAGGACTTGGGGTTCTGCTGATGTCCTGTTTTTGTCAGGAGGAGAGGTAGGTTCTATAGCATGAATGTTTGTACAACACATCCCTCTTCATTCAGAGACCATTTTTTTCCCCCCACCTTGAAATGCGGTGGGAGGAAACCACAGCAACTCTTCTCTCTTGCAGTTTAATGCCTGGAGAACCCTGTGCCAAAAAGCTTTGGTGTCCGTTTGTGCCGCAGGACATGCTCCCTGCCACTGTCGCCTCTTCCGCTGCGGGTTTCTCTCTGCCTGACACAGACATACACAACTGCTGCTAACAATTAGTGTCCCATCTCTGCCTGCAGCCACCTCTCAGCCGTGTCCTGAGCCTCGGTTGTTTTAGCAGTCACTGGACAAAGTAACATTTAATTTCTCTTTCATTTCGCATGAATGACAAACTGGTCTCTGCTACATGGGTATCTGTAGCATTTTCCAGGCACTTGGAGACTTTTGTAAGCAGTTTTCCTTCTGTCTCCTTTTGAAGCACGACCGCTTCAAGCTCACATCGCCTTTGCTGTTTTCTTCCCTCCCCGTAATCAGAGGACGATGTAGTGCTCAGTGTGGGCTCACTCAACCTCTCTGCTGAGGGAAAAGCTGCCTTTCAGTTTGGCAAATGGCGTGCCTGTGGCTGAAAATGGGGTTGCACAGTGGACAGAAGAAATCCTGGAAGGCTGATGTATGCCCAAACCCTGACCGCTGCTGCCCCCTCTTCTGCAGCAATTGCCCCCACAGCTGCACTCAGAAATCTGAGCCACGCTGACGTTCCTGTTAACCTCAACCAGTGGGGAAAGGGCAGCTAGAAAAGACTTTCTTCCCAATAGTACGTTTTCTTCATCTTGACTCGATGATCTTAGAGGTCTCTTCCAACCTTAATGATTCTATGATTCTATGATTCTATCATGTTTTGCAGGATGAGCACTGCAAAGTTTCAGCAAGGGCATAGGGAAGCTGGCACAGGCCCTGCATCTCAGACCTGGGGCTTGGGTAGGGCACGAGAAGCTCCAGCTTTCCATGTATTTGTTTTGTCATGGCTGTAATACAGTACCAAGGTGATTGTTTTTCCATCACCTGTATTTAAGTGTGCAGTCTGCCTAAATGGACTCCAGGTAGTCATCGTAGTCTTGATTTCTAGCCGCTTTTGGTCAAGAGTCTTTCTGGCAAGCTATTTATGCTTATCCACAGCTCTGGAGAAGACCATAGACTCTGGAGGGTCAGGGGTGCTCTTGCTGACTTGGGTAGTTCAGTGCCCCATGCTCTTGTAGCTATTGTCAGAAGTCAACATGACTCAGCTGATCTGCTTTACTTTGCACTGAAAAAACATGAACAGCATCGCGGGGTGAGGTCTGAGCCGCCCGCTCTGCAGCAGTCCGTCACCAAACAGTCCCGTGCTCATCTCATTTAGCTGCTTTCCTGCCTGTGTGTGAGCTGAGCGAGCTGGGCAGTCAGACCCGGACCCAGGAGGATCGGCCCCAAAACTAGGAATGAGGCAGGAGATAGAGAAGCCATCCTTTCGCTGGCATATCATCAGCTCACATTGCTTGGGAAAGCCCCACCTTTGCACCAAGGCACAAACTTCTTCATCTGGGCAGTCCTCATTGCAGGGCGGTCAGGCCCCTGCAAGTCCTGCTGCTGCTGATGTGCTGAAGCTGCTAAAAGTTTGTGTAAAAGTTTGGCCTCAAACCTTTTTAGCCTCATCTGGTGATGTGAAAGTCAATTAATATTGTCTTGAATTAATTTAATTACATGTATTCATGTTTTCCATGATTGTGTTCCCCTTTCTCTGCCCCCATCTTCAACTCCTATGTAGAGATGTTTCAGGCTTTTTAAAGGAGTTATTGTTTGGAAAAACAACTATCCCTCTGAAGAAGTTTTCCCCTATTTCTTGCAAAATGTCTGTGTATTTGCAATTGCAACTCTAGTTTAATTAGGGGTGGGTTTGCTTGAGATATGCTGACACTTCCATTTGCAACCCAAATACGAAACAGAATTCATAGTTTGTTCACTATTTAGACCTTTCATATCATAAAGTGAGAGCACTTTTTAAAGTTCAAACTTTGTTTCTTTTTAAATCAGAAAGTTTTCAGAGCGTTCTCAACATTTCCCCAAGGGCTGAATAAAGCTTCACACTTTAGTCCCTGTACTCCAACTTCTGTAAACCAGCTATTTCCAGTGAAATTGGCCTGAAGTTTCACAGGATGCTTGTAGTTATTTTAGTAGTTTGGCCAAACAAACAAAACAATCCAGATGGCTGGACTGAGAGTTGTAAAGTGTTTTTCTTTTTTTTTATTTTTAAGTTAGAAAGGAGTGATTATCCACAGCATAGATGTTTTAAAACTGCTTCATTTAAAAACTGAAGGGCTGCATGTGGATTAGCTTCTTTTGCTACTTAAAAAGCTAAAAATGTTTGAAATTGGTTCAGATATTTGTATTTGACAGTCTGCAGATGAGTAATCACAGCAGGTATGCTTTGTTCAAAATTGCTTTAAAGGACAAAGGCAATTTCACATTCTAGTCGATCGAGATATTTAAAAAAATGATGGTAGTGGATCAACAACTCGAATGTAAGGCCGCGAGGCCAAAGTCATTTGGGCTGTTGGAGTTGGTTTTTTTCTCGGTGTTAAACCTAAAAATATGTGCAACAGAAAAAAAAAATTATTGTTAAGACTCAAAAAGGGGGCACTTTTGTACGGTGACTTTCTCCTCTGTAATTAATTCAGCCCTGCTATGGTGGAGCATTGGCCTCCTGGGGTTTCACGTTCAGAGTAGAAGAGGGGGTCCCCAGACCTGTGTGCACTTCAGCCCCCCGTGCTGATCTGCTCTGTGTTTGCTGCTGACTTTTCTCCCAAGCCCTGCTTGGTTTTCTATGGAGAAGTCCCTGAAAGCAGAGACTCCTGTTGCAATGTTTTCGGGTACCCCCTGCCAGCAGGAGGCTTTACATTTTTGTCAGGCTTCTTGGTACGAGCGGCTGAGCCCTTTTAGCCAGGAAGCTGTAGATGTTGTAAAAACAACCCGTAGGATGCTATTTTCCCAGCCGCCCTCTGCGTCACAGCAGCCCCGGGAGCGTGCCAGTTCCCTGTGCCGGAGCAGGTGGGAGATTGGACTCGACCTTGATGGCAACCCAAAGTCATCTCAAAAGAGCATTGAAAAGCATTTGCTGCACAGTTTGGGGAGCTCTTGTTGAGGGAAGATTTTGCTGCATATTGAGTAGTACAAATCCTGGCAGTGCAAATGTGACTTGTGCTTCATCTGAGCACACCGTTGTGAATTTGAGTTAAGACTTATGTACCCTGCTTTGCTAAATATTGAGCAGACAGAGCTCTTGGCGTACTGCTTTTGAATAAGCCTTGAATTTAGGCGGACGTATTTTTTCCTTTTTTAATATGCTGAATTAAAACAAGGAAATCAAACTGCAAATAGACGTTTTCACATTTGTGAAGGTCTGCTGTAATCCTGTGGATGCTCTGGGAAGCAGAGACATGAAAGTGGTACTCCGTTGTCCACCCACTTGTGATGTGGGGGTTGCAAGAGCTGCAGAGGAAAAGTGATCTTTCATAGTAAGGGCTGTGCTTGAATCTGTTTCAGAGGGAGTATTTACGTTTTCACAGTGAAATTTGGTAGTTTTTCCTTTTTCTTGCAGGCTCAAGTTAGACCCTAATGTTATCTGAGTAGAAGGTTGTTGAGTTTTCCTGCCTTAATGTGGAAAAAATAAGTGCACTGAAACTAGTAACCTATAATGAGATTTAGATTTGTTTTATATGTGAGATGGAGAACTGCATATTTTTTTATGATAAATGACTTTGTTTTGCATATCTCTTTCTGTCAGTCTGCCTATCAAAATCTGTCATCGGGGAATTTAACTGTACCCGGCATTAACTGGTGGCAGCAAAACTGTGATTTATATATTTACTTATGTGCATGCAGAAACCCTGATCAAAGAAGGGAGAAAAATTGATGGAAAACACCCACTCAAAGACCAATAACCGTCTGTTCTCTCTCTTTCCACTCGCTTTCTTCCTTACAGCAACCACTTGAAAGGAAAGACAGCCAAAACAGTTCTCAGCATAGCGTCTCCAGCCACCGCAGCGGGCACACCGCTTCCCCCGTTCACAGCACACAGGTGCTGCCGGACTACACTGCCGCGGAGCCGCCGGCTGCGGATCAACCGGACAGTTCTGGGCAGAAAAAGCCAGATCCATTCAAAATCTGGGCCCAGTCCAGGAGCATGTATGAAAGCCGACGTGAGTATGAAGCAGGTGTGGTTGCTAAGGCTACGGCTCTGGCAGCTGCTCTCTGTGTATTTTCTTTGTGAAGAACTGAATCTTTTAGATTTATGTTGAAAATATAAGGCTTCAGTTTGTTAATTTGGTATCTGTCAATGATATCTACTTGATAGAGATGCAGCTTCCTCCCTGATGAGGAATGAATTTAGATCATCTCCAGGAAAGGGCACTTAGACCAAAGCTTAATACGAAAAATCCCTTTAAAATTAAAGACCATCTTTCCCCCTATTTTTTTATTTTGCTTTTAAATTAGGCTGAGGGAGAATTTACAAGTTTGTTATCCAGATCCTAAACTCCTTTTTGAGGTTAAGACTCGTTGTCTGATATGCATAGGAATTTCAGTAAGGAGGGGAAGTATTTAGTTTGCTGAAATTCATACCAGATGCTTTCCAGCCTCACCCTGGTGAGGAGAAAATCCAGCTGAGCCATTTTACTTTGACCAGAGTGGACACTTTAACAATACAGATATCAAATGCATATTGTAAGTTGCTTTTATGGCAATTAATAGTCTGCACA